GATGTGGGTTACGCCAGATTGGCTAGGTTTCTTAATTATCCTAGTTAATGGGTTTCACTTTCACCATTTTGATCTTTTCTAGGAATAACTATGTTCTTGCTTCCACTGTAGGAAGCAAATACTCTTTCATGGGGCATTGCATAGTGAAATATTCACTTGGAACCATGGATGGGCAAGAGAGTATAAAATTTTTCATTAGCAAAAGAAAAAATTTATATAAGGTTGCAACCATGAAATGTAGAAAAAAGGCACATATAAAAAATCTAACAATGAAGTGGAGTTGTTAGCGGTGCTTCAAGGTTTGAAAATCTCAAAGAATGTTGTATTCAATTTCTGTGCATTGCTGAGGGGGATTTTTTAAATGTTATTAATTGATGCAGCCGTATAACAAGATCGCCATGGAAATTGAGATCGAAGTGGATGGAAATCATGGATTTGGTGCGGGACATGAATGTGACTTTTCAATATGTGTATAGGGAGGGTAACAAGGTTGCTGATTCTTTGGCAAAGAAAGGTGTTGAATTACAAACTTTGGTAATTTCAAATGTTTTTATTGTATGAATACTTCCTTATTAATGAATTACAAAACATTGACAAAAAAAAGAAGACGAGAGATATATAGATGCATGAAAAAAGAAGAAGAGATTTTAAAATATTAAAAAATGATACATCTTGTAATACATTATCTAGACCGTCAATTCTCAATATTTTTATGTGTTTCTAGATCTAATGGATCTGTATTATTTTTTGAGTTTTAAATTTCATAATTAGATATAAACTAGTTTTTCATATTATCCTTAAAATTTCCGACATTAAAATTCCATGGTTTGTTGAGGCTTTTGGTGGTGCACATCAACTCATTAAGGTTGAGACCATATACAATCCACACCCACATGAAAAAAAGCTGTTTGGCCAAAAAGGTCGACAGGTAACATTGCTGTCTAGTCCAAAAGAAATTGACTATTTGTCTTGTTCAGACTTTGTCTTAAATTTGGAATTAGGTCATTGGTCTTATTCTTGATAAGTACTAGACAAATGTGGTGTGACTTACTAGTTTCTACGTGGCTTTGTCATTGACACAGACGTTTTGGCTGGTGTGGGTGCGAGTTTATTTATATTGTACCCACGGTTTTAAAATAGGGCTGGTGACCTGGGTCCCATGTCTGAAAAGTTGGTTTGGATGAGCGGTCCGGATTATTGGTGAATAAAAAATAAAAATAAAAATAAAAAGGTTTTAAAAAATAATGAGATTGGTTATGAATCTCGACTAGTTCCGTTAGATAATTAACTAAAACCAATTGATTCATGGGGGAGTATGCTAGTTCTCAATATTTGTTTGGATAAGATCGGCCCGACCAATTCTTATTTGTCAAAAAAAAGAAGATTGGCTCGACCAATTCTCAATCTAAATCGGCCCGTTCCAATCCAAATCACCAGTTTCAAAACATTGATTTTTCCTCACTTCTGAAAGAAACTATGTTTGTTAACATTAACAAAAAGAAAATTTTAGGCGCAAACCTAAGGTTTGTTTTTTAAACCCCAATAATATTCTAAAGAAAAAGGGGAAATTTATAGAAAAATCATGTTTTACTAAAATGATCCCATATATTTCATTCCACTTTTTTAGAGCATAAAATATATTTTAATTTAATCTATTTTTATACATTAGATTAAATTTAAAGATAAAATTAAAATATACAATATACTTTAAAAAAATGGATAAAGTTAAAATATTCTACATGTGGGTGTTGAATATAAAATATAAAATATACAGGAACTATTTTGAATTTTGAAAATAAAGCAAAATTTTTGTGCAATTTTTCTAAAAAATAAGAATGTTTGTCAAATGTTTATTTCGATTTTGCTTTTTTAACAACAAAATTGAAGCAAAACATGCACCTTGGTTCGTTATGAATGAATGGTGGAAATTGGCAATGGCCTTATCCGTTGTACCACCACCGTCCATCGTTCGGAATAGACAACGGACAGCTACGTTGTATACCACACATATACAAGCTGTGTATGGTAGGTAAACCATTGTTGTCTAGAGGAGGATAAGGCCTCCCTACATTTGGTCCCACAAAAAAAAATATTGCACATGGGAGATTTTGTAACCGGCCATATTCTTCTTTTTTTTTTTTTTTCTTTTTTTTTAATAAAAATAAAAATTGAGGGAGCTATTTTCATGAAGAATATCTAGAAAATTGGGAATATGAAAAAAAAGGCGAATGTAAAAAACTAGCGGTTGGAAGCTGAGAAAATCAAGGAAATCTGCCTCTGATAATTTTCCTTTTTGATAACCTGGGAATTTGAAAATCTTTGGTTTAATCATTACTTAAGAAACCCATTAATTAAATGTTGGCTATCACTTACATAATACACGGTTCAGATGGAAAGTTATTAAAGCTATACGATGAAACCATTTACTTTTGATACAAAGAAGTTATATTTGAAATTGGGTAGTTGAAGATGTATCATTGTTTAGGCACAAAGTCTCAAATATATTTTTTTGAATATTGTGACACGTTCATCTATTGGAGTTCATATCTTATGGTTGAAAATAATTGTGAACTCCTTGTACTAAAAATAAATAATCTCGTAGAATATAATCCCTTTATTTTTTATAATGTATTAATTTTCAGCACAGCTGCTTATTTACAAAATAGTGATTCTAAAATGCTATCGTAACATAAAAATATAACATATAGCAAATGTCGAACAAATATTTTTTTAAAAAAATATTGGAAATATACATGCAGCAAATTGGACGGGAAGAAAAACTCTTCCATTACTTCGAATTCTCTAATACAAAATACATCATCACTCATACACACAAACACCTCTCTCTACAATTTCTCTTTACCATTACAACTCACGCACACCCACTCACCATACTCCCTAGCCCACACTTACAACTTGCACACATACGAAAGCTCCACATAACATCCCTTTGGTTCTAGGATGTACTTATGGGACTCTCTCCCTCTCATCGGCCTTTCTTTCTCTCACAAGCCTAGCGGCCCCATTTTTTCTATCTGGAGGTATCTCCCTGTACTTCATGGCAACGTGTAGCGAAATTTCACTACATATCGTCCATTATTCGCAAAATCACCTGATCTAACCGTTAACCACCCCGGTTTGATCGGAACCGGTCATTGGCCGGTTTTAATTTTGGGTGGTTCAGGTGATCAACCGGTATTTAAAAAAAAAAACTCAAAAAAAATATATAAATTATAAAAAATAAGTAATTTGATTTGTAATGCATTTTAAAAGATTCTTTACATTATGATAAATATTAAAAATTGTTTTATCATTAATACTCACTTTTATATTTTCCCATTTTTTATAGAAAAATTTAACAATAGCATTTGAAAAATATAAATTAGGTTAAAATCCAATTTTTTTCATTAATTTTCAACTTAATTTTAATGTGTTTCGTTTTAATCATTCTTTATATACTTTTCGTATTTTAGTAGATTTTTTTTTGTATCGTTTTTATTTCTTTTCAACAATTTTTTGACCTCTCAAAATTTGTCCAGTTAGAGCAATTAAATCGACCAATTTATCGACTAGACCGGTTAAACCGCTTTCAAGCCCATGTCCGATTAACCGTTCCCGTACGATTTTATAAACACTGATCTCACCACAATCCACACCAAGGCCTACACCCTCTCAATCTCACTCCTCTTGTCTGCATCTGTTCCCCACTTGCTCACACTACATCCTTTTTATAGGTGGCGGTGTACCCCTATTTTCAAACCTTTCTCCCACTTTGTCAATATTGGGGGCACCGGCCAATGTTGACCTTACAATAAATGATATAGAAATGAAGGCCATGAGAGTGAGAGTGAGAGTGTGAGTGTGAAAAAAAATAAGAGTGAAAGAGCCATTATTGAGATAATCATACTATGAAAGCGAGTGAGAATGAAAGTTCACAATCCTTTCGAGTTTACACGAAGTCCATAAGCCACCAAAATCATGTCATAATTTTGTTTCTCTATTGTACCCCAAATTTATGGTCTTCCCGACTTTGGGAATTTAACACCATGGCGATGATTTTTCTTCTTCACTTTTGTCATCATACTATTGTTGTGCCTTGGTTTCCCTTTTCAAATATTGAAGTGTCTAGTGATAAAAACATTTTTTAGGTAGTTCAGTGGGGAAAAGGGTCTCTCAAATATCGAAGTGTCTTTTGATAAAACACTTTTTTTAGGTAGTTTAGTGGGGGTTGGTGTCGTGTTGTATTCTTACCACTCAGCCTTAAGCTCATTCTTATTAAAAAGAAAAAAGGTATAAGTTTACACCTTATTATTAGTTTTGACTATTTCCAATAAGAAAAAAGGTTCTAAACAATTAAATTAGAACCTACTTCAAAAATTTTATTAGAAGAGGTTGTTTTGATGCCCAAATATATCATCTCGACATCATCTCGAAAAAATTAAATTTCAAGCTTTAGAAATAGTGAATCTTGTAACGCATTTTTGGACTGGTCAAGTTTCAAGATTTTTAAGTTTTCATATATCTACTCGACCTATACTATTTTTTAAGCTTTAAATTTTATAATTAGATATGAAAATATATTTTAAGGAAAAAGTTTATATAAGGTTACAACCTTAAATGTAGAATTACATATGCACCTAAAAAATCTATCCAAAAAGGTTGGTTTAATGCTGAAAAACCCTCTAATCGTTCATCTCGACAACGATATGTACGAATATGAAAAAAAAAAATTACGCCCCAAAAAAAGTGCATTTTACAACACATTATCTAGATCGTCAAGATTTTTATATGTTTATAGATCTTCTTGATTTTAACCATATTTAGAGTTTAAAAATTTATAATTAAATATAAGAATAGATTTTAAGATAACCTTAATAAATTTTTGTACCAAAATTATATTTTATGATAAAATTTAGAGGTGCGACTTAATTCGACGGTTTAAAGTTGCAACTCTATAAAAACCACACCCATATTTTAAAGCTATCACAGATATTTTCAGTATTGAAACCACATTTTTCGATTTTTCGACGTAAGGTCTAAGGTGTGATATACTTTGATCGTTTAGAGCCTCGGCTCTGTGCAAACCGCACCCCTTCGGTTGACACCTTGCATAAACATGTCCCCTTTTTAGTAGGAAGGTGGCGTAAAGGAATTCTGAACCTGTTGTTCATCGAGGTGCCCGCTTCCTAGCGCGAGAACTAGAGAGAGAAACACAACGTTTTCCCTCTTGGTAGCTCCCTATATAACTAGAGAGAGAAACCCAATCAAATTGGGCTAGATTCTGGGTTTGTCTCCGACTGTAAGATTTTTACCCTGAATAATTCATACAAAGCTATGCATTTATCATTCTCTCTAGCCATGGATTTGTCATTCTCTCTCTAGAAATGTAAGCAATGGTACTGTAAATGAACCACTGTTTCATGCCCAGCCAATGTTTGACAAAATGCATGAAAGAATTTTCTCTCTGTACAGTACCCACCTTCTCTATCCTCTCATGGGCACCCCTTCACTCTTCTTCTTATACACACGGTCGATTGTTAAGCTTCATGAACCACCCCATTAACCAAGTTACACATACTAATGGAATCGGAAGAGAAAGAAACCAGACATCCTCTACTTTAAGGCCACCAAGACTATTGCAAACCAGTAAAGACCCTCTGTATTTGCCCGCTGCTTTGCGCATACAGAAAGTCCTTAAGGTTGGGAAATGGTCAGTTGATGTAGAGAGAGAATTGAACGAACTATATGTAAGCCTCAATACGTATATTGCCAATCAAGTGTTGAAGGTCGAGACTGATTCCTTGTTGGGTTTCTCCTTTTTTTGTTGGGCTGAAAGACAACCTGGTTTTAAGCATGATTACTTCACATACACTTCGATCCTTTCGTTGTTGTTAAAGGATCGTCGATTTGAATTGGTGGCAGTTGTAAGAGAGAAAATGCGTGAGACCGGGTTTGTTATGCACGCGACGATCTATAGGCTTCTTATATCTGGGTTTGTCAAGGCAGAACTCATAGGATTAGCTATTAATACTTTCGATGAAATGCTTGAATCAAAATGCGTAGTTTTTAGTAGGGACTATAGTAGGTTCATAGGAGTGCTAATTAAGTATTGCCAATTTGATTTGGCAAAGAAATACTATGAGAGAATGGTGAGAAAGGGGTATCCATTGACTACATTCACGTATTCAAGGTTCATAAGTGGTCTTTCTGATGCAAATGATTTGGAATATATAGAAAAACTACTATCAGATATTTATAAGATGGGTTATGCTCCTGATATTTGGGCTTACAACAAGTACATGAACTCGTTGTGCAGGTTGAACAAGCTTGACTTGGCTTTGACACTTCTTGAGGATATGACAAGAAGAATAAAGCCTAATCCTGTTACATATACTATCATTATCAATGGTTTATGTAGGAAAGAAAGGTTTCAATCTGCATTGGAGGTTTGGAATGAGATGATTAGGAAAGGTTTTGAGCCAGATTTGATAGCCTGTGGGACATTGGTTTTTGGTCTGTGCAAGCATAGCAAGGTCGATTTGGCTTATGGTGTTGCGATGAGGGTAATAACTAGAGGAATCGCTTTGACCACTCCGGTGTATAATGCTCTTATAAATGGTTTCTGTTCCATTGGAAGGATTGATAAAGCCCAGGCAATAGTTGCATTTATGAGGCGAAATGGGTGCACCCCAGATTTAGTTACTTACAATACAATGTTAAACTACTGTTGTAATGAGAATTTGGTGTTTGAGGCAGAGAAGTTGATAGAAAAGATGAAGAGATATGGCATTAATCCCGACAAGTATTCTTACAACATACTTTTGAAGGGCTATTGTAATGCAAACCAGTTAGACAAAGCCTACTTGTTGTTGGTGGACAAGATGGAATCCAAAGAGATATTCGATGTGGTCTCTTATAACACTATTGTGGGGGCACTTTGTCGGGTTAGGAGGGCTGGCACAGCTTATAAGTTGATGGAAGAGATGAGTATGAAGGGAATTTCACCAGATGTTGTGACTTATAGCTCTTTGATTAATGGGTTCTTTAGAGAAGGTCATATTGACTTAGCAGAGGAGCTTTTCAATCAAATTCTTGACGTGGGCTTCGTCCCTGATGTTGTAACTTATACCACCATGTTTGACCACCTATGTAAATCTGGTCGAGTTGAACAGGCCAGGAGCTTGTTCTTCAACATGATCAAGAATGGCGTTCGGCCTGATATGATTTCATATAATGCTTTAATAGATGGGCTTTGCAAGGCTTTCATGGTGAGTGAAGCAGTGGAGGTTTATGAGGAAATGGTGCATGGGGGTTGTGAACCTGATGAGGTAACTTATCATTTGCTAATCGGGGGGCTTCTCCGGGATGAAAAGCTGGGAATGGCTTGTAAAATATGGGATCAGATGATGGAGAAAGGACTTGTTCTTGATACAGTTGTGGGTGAAGCATTAGTTGATTCTGTACGGATGAAAAATGCAACAGAAAAGACTGTACAAAGAGGTAAAACAAATTCTTGTGCTCTTGTTTTCTTGGTTTTTAGAGCTCATGCACCTTGGTTTTGATTCTATTTTTTGCTTTATGTGCTATATTTGCCATATGCAATTGTGCACATCGGTGCATATAATCCTCCACTCCCTAGAGATTTTGAAAAGGGGGGTCAAAATTTGATATTTGAAAAATTATTTTGAATGCATTTGTAATTATGCGAGGGGAATGAAATTGTATTCTTCGAAGAAAATGTGTTTTACGTGCTCCTTTAGCATTAAATACAAGTATTGTAGAGGTCTTAAGGTCAGAAAAATGTGCATACACAAAAACATGTGCCGTGCACACAAATATTCCCTAGCGTACATTAATTCTTGCTTGTGAATGGGATTGGCAAAGGAGTTAAGCTCTTGTGTCACACCCCACATTTACTTGCCGATGAATGATTTTCAAAAAGGAAAAGAAAAAAATATCAATAGATTTGTTATGTTACCATTTAGTCACCATGACAATAAAATGCTTACAAAGAGATTGGATTGAATAAATCCCAGTACTCATTGTTACGGTCCTATTCATTTTCTTTAAGGTGTTTTGCCTGCCATCTGTCCATGTTGATGTTTGTCTAGTTTTTTTGTAAAATTGCAATTGCTTGTTGACTATGCACTCTCGTGGCTTGCAATGCTGAATGACGATCGTACTTCTTGTTTTCTTTTGTCTTGTGAAGTTTCTGTAAGAGATAAGAATCGCTCACTTGATGTTGCATCTACTTTGAACGCAAAGCTTTTTTAAAGATGTTTCTCGCATGTGGTAGCTCTCCCAAAAAGAAAGCATGCAAATGGATTTCATGAAAGAATATCCAGGTTTGTGCTTTTCTTTCAGTTTCCTGATACTGTAAATTCTTTTTTTATTGGCAGAAAAATTTTTGTTGAAAAATACAAAGGAAAATAATCAGGAAAAAATGCAAAGAGATGCAAAGGTAGCATCTCACTTATCTATCAAGCATACTGTAGTGTCTTTTCTTTTCTTGTTTTTGATAATTACTAAGGATTGTAATGTCCGCATTATCTTTTAGATCCGTCTCATCATACCAAGGACTGTTCCCCTTTTATTTTCTCTTCCTTTCAATTCTGATGTTTAAAAGAGAAACTCGAGCTTCCTAAATTAAACTGTCCCAAGAATATTGCTGTGTGTTGTTCTTATCATCTATGTTACATGGATTCTTCTGTTTTTGTGCCGTACTTGTGTCAGACACGTATTTCTCTATATTTTTCTCGTTGTTTACTAACAATTAATTTCATCAAGGGAAATTATAAGAAATATCCCTATATTTTTCAAAAATACAAAAAGTACCATTTTTTAAAAAATTACATCGACACCCAGCAATTTTGTGTCTACGGAAATTTCCTTCACAGCCTAATGGGGCCGTGATGTCGGAGCAATGTCTTGTGGCACTTGCCTTGAGCACCAAAGGCCCTATTAGAGCATGATGCACCATCACAGCCCTATTAGGGTCGTGATGCCCTAGGCACCCCATTGGGTACCTTGGATGCTTTGGATGTGGGGGGCCTTGGGCATATTCCTAATAGGGCCATGACAGTGCATCACGGCCCTATTAGAGCCGTGAATGACATATTGGGTTAAAAAAGACCTGTTAGGGTATGGATATCATTTTAAAAATTCTGGTATTTTTTGAATTTTTGAAGAATATAAGGATATTTTTGATGATTTCCCTTGCATCAATTTAGAGACTTCATATATTCGTTTTTGTTTTAGATGCATATTAACTATGGATTCAGCTAACCAAGGTCTAATTGATTGTTCTCTTGTTACTTGTCATGACATGGTATATTGGTAACACATTGTTGGATTTGGTTTGTCTCGTCATAATGCACCCATGTCCTCAAATCCTCTTTTTCATGGTATCAGAAGTCCGACCATACCTATGTTTGAATCTGATACATGTACCTGTGTCCATTTAACATAGCTTGTCACTGATTTGTTATTATGTTCATCATTGTTGTTGTTTTTAGTGTTCAAAACTTCAAATGACTCTTCATTAAGCTAAATCTAGATTGAATTTCCTTGGGTTGTGTTGAGACAACTTTAAAAGGTTGAGAATGCTCTCAACCCTGCTTTATAGTTTCATATAAAAACAGATTCAATGCTTTATGGATTATGAAATATATGGGAACCTTTCTGCAAAAACTTAGTAGAAACCTTCAGATTGCTCCCCAAAACTAACAAATATTCTGCCTGATTTCAAGCTTGTATGATTTGTACTTGATCAGACTCGGGGTTCAAATGATTGGCCTGAGTGTACCTTCTTAGGATTTCTCTAATCTGGAATTTTCAATAATCCCTGTGTCCGTTCTTAACCATTGAAAGCAATCAAATCTCTTAGGGAAAGGAGACTCTGACTGGAACTGGAACCTGTCTGCATGATTAAAATTTCTTATGGGACTTACCTAATGAAAAAAACTGTTGAATTATACATTATGTTTGTTTGACTTTATGCTCTTTGTTGTCCATTTCAACAGATTATCAATGATGCACGGTGGGTTGGAAGATCTTGCCAAGCAGTATGTGCTCTTCATGTCGACTTTACCATGATTGAAGTTTGGAGTGAGTGAAGGTTACTGAGCAATGCCTCTTGAGCCTTGGGCAATGTAAATTCTTATGATTGGTCCTAATAAAGCTGCAACATTTTAACATTTAATTGGTATGAAAATTCTTTTAATTGGTATACTCTTTTGATAGTTCCTGTTGTAATATTAATACATCAAAAAATACAATAGAAAAGTACATCCTGATATCAACTTGTCATTGATTCCCCATTTGGTGTTGATTTGCTCTCTCTCTCTCTCTCTCTCTCTCTGTAGTGTCTGTTTTCAATATTTAAATTTATGCAGGTCTAAGGGATAATCCGTTGTGTTGGGTTGATGATGCCATCATCCAAGCCTCTGTGGAGAGTGGAGTTCTTATTTAGAGAGAGCAGAGGCGTAGTTCTTGGGAGGAAAATGTAACCGCCATAAAGTATATACCTGTCAAGTGGAGAAGCAGCAATCAGGTGGTGGGGGAAAGAAGGTTCTTCATTTATTTTCCCATGATCATTTTTTCTTTGTAGTTATGAATAGTTTCTTGTTTCTTTCTTTAATGTTGAAATCATCTTATGTGGAGATCAATGTTTGATGAAGAAAGATCATCCAAATGCGGCTTCTTTCATTCTACAAAAAATGTCTAATAAAAGAGATAGATGGGATGGATCGTCCACCAGCTGATCCTTGTGGGATCGCCTACCCAGATTGGTATGGATCAACGATCCGGAGAATATTAACAGAAAAAAATAAAAAAATATAACATTAGATATCGTATAATGTCTGGAATTTATATCACCTAGCATAATTGGCTTACTTAGGAGCACTTTGTGCCCTTTATCAAACGGAAAAGGTCTAGTGTTCGAGTGTTCGATCCCATTGCTGTCGGTGTATATGTTGAAATAAAAAAATATTTTTAACATTCGAAAACCAAAAAGAGCGCTAGAGATGGTTCAAACCTCCCTCTGAGTTCAACGACTGGCAGTTCTAGCCGCAGCAGTCATTCAAGTTATTTGATGTAAAGAATACATATTATATAGTAAACTTTAATGAATCACCGATTCCAATCAGGAACTTATGTGGTCATAGACTATTCCCAATCTAGATTGGCAATTTCTTATCAGGTTCTGACAAATTTTTATGCACTGTTGGAGATGTAGAGTGTGATGTGCAGGGAGGTAGAGTGGAACTTCTTCTTATTCATCACTCTATTACCAATAGGAGATGGGATTGAAGGGCCTACCTGTTTTATGCGGAATTTGCATTTGCTTAGGGATGAGATTGGAGTGAGTAGAAGGATAAAGTCTTTTTAGTGTAGAGGAGGATTGGATTATTGGTATTCTTTTCTTTAAAGGGAGCGCTGAGACCCTTCTCTCCTCTTTTTAATCCTCTCTAGTTTTGATTGTTTGCACAATGTACACTGCTTTCCAAAAAGGAACAAATTGTGTAATTGTGGTTGTTTTTAGTGACTATAGTGTGCACCCATGGGAGCACATTATTACATTTACTCCCTTAAGCAAAAGAGCTACTTAGGAGAGTTTTCTCAGTCCAAAAATTAGAGGTTTGCCTAGAATCACAAGTTGAGATGATTATTAAAAGAAAATGAATTTTGAGTTCCTCAACAGTTCGATTGGACTGTCCTAAAATTGGATGCTCCTATCATCGTATGTTATTTTTTAGGCCCGAAGCGTGCATTTTTTCTTTTCTCTGAGATTTGTCACTAAGATGAAGATTTTGCATCACCAAAATTCGAGTTCCAAAAATTATTCCTAAATAGGGTTTTTTTTTGGAGGTAGGGATCATTGGCCCAGCCATAGGCTAGGGGTCCATAGCTCACCTAGCCAACAAGCCTGGACCCATAGTTGTTTTGAAATTTCCAAAAATAGATAAAAAATCTGAAAAATGAATTTCAACTCTTATCGAGATGAGCAGGGTTTTTCTCAAATTATTCAACATGAAAAGAATCCCTTTTTGAATATTTAACATGAATAGAAGTCCATGTTATTATTAGTGAAAAAGTTTATATGAGGATGCAACCTTATAATGTAGAACTACATATGCATCTAAAACATCCATCAGAAAATGTTGTTTTAATGTTGAAAAACCGATCATCTTGACATTGAGATGTATGACCATGAAAAATAAAAAGATTTTAAGCATTAGAAAGAGTGCATTTTACAACATATTAGCTACGCCGTTCATTTTCAAGATTTTCATATGTTTATAGATCTACTTGATTTTAACCATTTTTGAAATTTAAAATTTTATAATTAGATATAAAAATAGATTTTGAGATAATCCTAAGAACATTTTATATCAAAATTATATATCATGATAAACTTTGAAGGTGCACCTTGCCTCTATAGTTACGAATGCATTCGTATGTTAGCACCCTTGCATATAATAGGCCACAATTACTTATAACCATCATATGTGAAATCTGATAGCTTTTGTGATTTTTCCTATAGGTTTGCGGCTGTTTATTTTTTGCAGATAGTGGGGATGTGGCACTGTGCCAGCTATATTAGAGCCGTTGTGGTCTGGAACAGCTATATTAGAGCCGTTGCGTAGTGCCATCATGGACATTCAAAGGGTCTCGAACTTGAAAGGCGAAATTATTGTACACTTTCTCGTATAGGCGTTGGAAAGAGTTTTTTTTATTTAAAGATCATCAAATTGACCAAGATAATTGCTTTTCACCAAAAAGAAAAAATACAAAATAACTTCAAGAATAAAGTAAAAGAAAAAATACAAAATAACTTCAAGAATAAAGTACTTACGATACCACAACATATGACTGTGTTTCCATGTGCAATTTATCAACAAGGTGTTGCATCATAGAGTTTTACAACACATCTACCATTGAGCTTCCATAATAGATAGATATATTGCAGGCTCTGACCCACCAAAACTGGGTCCTTTAGAAGCCAGGCAACTCCGGCTCTTTAAAGTGCAAGAGTCTCCAATACTCAAGTGCCAGACTAGCCGCAACATCTAAAAAATTGAAAAAAATAAGTACTTTTAAATCTCTTTAAACATTCAAAAGCAGCAATATCATGTACTCAACATATCACTGCAATTATTAATATGAATTTCATTGAAACCATTAATAACAGTCACTTTCAATAATATTTAAAAAATGCCCAGTTAAATATTTTTGGCTCAAATTTAGAAAGGCTCAAATTTAGAAAGGTAGCAGTTCGTAAAGACATTATAGCATAATTGCCAATCTAGTATGTATAGAAAAACTCTTATAGAAATCCAAGAATACGGAATTATCATAATTTATTCGGATGTCAATTCTCAAATAAACATTTCATAGACAATGCTATAATCAAATGCAAAAATATCAGTTTTCAAATAATAAGGCAGTCATTTGCACATGAATTTTACAATGTCTAAATATTCAAAAACAGTAGAAAGAAATCTCACAATTTTACTAAAAGCAGAAATATCACATTTATTTCTAATAATTTTATAGTATCTAAAATTCTCTAACAATAGACAAGAAAAATAAATTTATTTCTAAGAATTTACAACATTTAAAATTTCTGACATAGATAAAATATCACAATTTTATTAAAAATATTATTTTTCGAGACAATGAGATCACTTACAGTTGCTCATCAGATTTGATTCATCAGAACCATATATAGGTCTTGACCTTCAAAATGGTCTAAGAGATTCAAGGTTTAGAGTCCCTAAGCTTTACTTTGTACAGTTTCTGCTCTCGCCTTTTTATTTTCTTTGGAGGAACTAACCCTTGTCGGATGGTCAAGCCCCTTGAAATTGCCGACTACATGGCAGAAGTAAAAATTATATAAGCGAAGGAAGACCTCATTACTAGGCTCTTAAAAAGGGATGGTCGGAGAAGGACTACTCCAAGAGAAACATCAAAGAGTGCTTTCCTGTTATCCTTAGAACTCATACGTATATAAGCAATATAAGGGAGAACATTTTTTTTTTTTCTAATGATTTACAATATTTAAAATTCCTAACAATAAATAAAATTTCACAATTTTACTAAAAGTTTATTTTTTCAAAATAATGAGATCGCTTGCGTTTAAAATTTATCGCGCCTAAAATTCATGATACTAAGTAGAAGTAATTATTTCATTTCATATTTAAAAAGAATGGATTATTTTTCAAGATAATGAAGTCACTTACCTAAAGTATTTGAGAGAGAGCTTCCGATAAAAATTCGGCTAGAGAGAGGAGCTCACTGTGTTTGTAAGAGGGAGAGCAGGAGTGGAGTTCTGTAAGGCGACGCCTTACCCTTCACCCTATTTAAATCTTTTAAAATGCCTCCACCTCATGTATGAGGCATAGCGTAAATGTCCGCCTTTAACACATGAAACCACGTCCACTAAAGGACGTGACAATGCAACAAAGCTTAAACCAAATGAAGGTAAAAGCTTTTGAAAGTAGTGATGGTCCCTAAGGACCATCATGCTCATATAGACCATCACTTATTAAAAGTTTTTTTTTTTTTGAAATTTTAGGATTATTACATTCTTCCCCCTTTTAAAGAAATTCAGTCCTCTAAATTTGTGTACCTGATTACTGAAAAAGATAAGGATGTTTTTCTCTAATTTCGTCTTCTCGTTCTCAAGTTGATTTATCTTTTGAATGGTACTGCCATAATATACGGACCAAAGGAATCTCCTTGTTGTGCAATACTTGTACCCTCCTATCCAGTATCAAAATTGGTTGCTCAATGAAGGATTGGTCCTTCCTGATCGGTAAAGGTTCATATTTCAAGATATGGGATGGGTCGGGCTGATATTTTCGTAGTGATGATACATGGAAGACATTAGGGACGTTTGCCAATTCAGGTGGTAAGGCAAGTCTATAAGCGACACCTTCGATTCTTTCCAGGATTTCAAATGGTCCGATGTAACGTGGGCTCAACTTTCTTTTCTTACAGAATCTCATAATGCCTTTTATTGGTGAGATCTTTAGGAAAACTCGATCACCTTCCTCAAATTCAAGATCTCTCCGTCGGTTATCGGCATAACTCTTTTGCTGACTCTGAGCTGTCCTGAGCCTTTCTCGAATTAATCATATCTTATATGTGGTTACCTGGACAATTTCTGACCCCAAAAGCTTTCTTTCACCAACCTCGTCCCAACAGATGGGTGACCTGCATTTCCTTCCATACAAGGCTTCATATGGTGCCAACTGAATACTGGCTTGGAAGCTATTATTATAAGCAAACTCAATCAGGGATAAATGGCCATCCCCGCTTCCTGTAAAGTCAATGACACAGGCCCTCAGCATATCTTCCAAGGTTTGGATGGTCCTCTCTGATTGTCCATCAGTTTGGGGGTGAAAGGCAGTGTTAAAGATGAGTCTCGTCCCCATGGCTGACTGTAGCCTAGCCCAAAATTTAGAGGTAAACTGATTATCCTTGTCTGATACAATACTGACGGGAACTCCATACAACCGCACTATTTCCTTAATATACAATTGGGCCAGTCCAAAGTGTAAGTCGTGCGAATTGACAGAAAGTGGGCAGCTTTGGTCAACTGGTCCACAATGACGTAAATGCTATCAGGTCTTGAATTTGTTCTTGGCAAGCTAGAGACAAAATCCATAAAGATGTGCTCCTACT